TATATATATATATATAAATATTAAGCTATTAGATAGCTGACGTAATAGTAAAAGTAAATTTAAAATAATAAAAATATTAAAAATAGTCTATATCCACAGCTAACATGGCTCCGTACCGATGCCTTTCCCTTTATATAGTATAAGTGACTTCGTAACCTCAATGTATTTTTTTTTTTTACTGTAGCATAGGCCTTCGTTGGGCTTTCGTCCCTTTGCCTATAGACGGCGGCTTGGTTTCGTTATCGCTCATGACTTGATATGCTACTTACTATTACGTGATATATTTATTTGTTCACACTTTTTCAAATAACGTAATTACTATGTTTAGGCAACGAGTTGAAAATCACAACCTTCCATGGCTAAGGATAGTCAAAATTTTGTTATGGCACAGTTCAATACTTTACCCCTACGACTAGGGGTGTTCATAAAAATCCGAAAAATCGAACCAAACCGACCAAAAAAATCGATACTTTTTGGTTTGGTTTGGTTTTGGTTTTGAATTTTAAAAACCGATCAAATTTTGTTTGGTTTTGGTTTTAATCAGAAAAAATTCGAACCAAACCGACTATAGGAGTAGCTATTTCAAATTTATTATTACACCTATAAATATATATATTGTTATACAAAGTTTCAAAAAAAATTATGGTAAATGTTAATAATTTGCACTTTTAATATAGTTCTTTACCTTTACATTCTAGTTTGATTGGTAGTTTTCTTTTGTTTAGTGTAAGAATCCATTTCGTGTTAAAAATAACATATTTTTAATTGAGTCCTTAAATTAATCATCACTATTTGATTCAATTATCATCAATATATCTTGGTAAATAATAGATTTATCAAAGGGCAATTGATTTGATAGTGTTACATTGAAAATGTGATCGCGAGAATATGTGTTTGGTAGTGTATGTCTTATATATTTAAGAGAAACCGACGAATAACCGAAAAAACTGAAAAACAGACATAAACCGAATCGAGAAAAACCGACTTAATTGGTTTGATTTGGTTCTAATATTTAAAAAATCGACTTACTTAATTTGAGTGCTTTTTAGGAAAAAATCGATCCAAAGCGAACCACGAACGCCCCTACCTACGACATAGACATAACTAAGCCCCACATCCTCAAAAAATGGACCCCACATATGACCATATGTTTAACCGTAGCTGTGACAACATTTTCAATGGAGATTTTCCTTACTCTTGACTGAAGACTAAAAGGGCCTCTCTCTCTCTCTCATAGCTTCTTCCTCTTTAACAATAACAAATAACAATGGGTTCATTTTTCTATTCTTGTACTTATTCAACTCCTTTTCTCTTCATATATTCCTCTTCCTTCTCCTTTATCCTTTTTGGGGTTTTCAAAGTTTCTAAAGGAAAAGTTAGTTATAAAGTGAGAATCTTATATTTGTTTTAATATGGGGATTTGCTATGGTAAACCTGTAAAGCTTGCTCATGCATCTTCTAGCTTGTTGTCTGGTATGAATTCATTCCCACATTCTCTTTTCACTTTGTTTTTTTTGCATGTTTCCCTCTTGTTTCAGTTTTGTACAATATTTGAATTGCTTTTGTAGTTTGTTCAAGACCCTTTTTATGTCTAATTCAGGGTTAATTCTTGAGCTGAATTTTATAGTTCTGTAGTGTGTGTATATGTGTGTGTATGTGTGTGTGTCAAGGGGCGGAGCTAGCCCTCCGGTTCGGTCGAACCCAGTAGCTTTTGTACAGACTTTGTATTTGTCTTGTGATATTCATGGAATATGTACAAATTATTCGTTTGGAACCCAGTAACGTAAAAGAACTAAAATCCCGAACCCATAAACTTCAAATTCTTGCTCCGCCTGTTTGTGTTGAGAATAGGTATGCTGTAATGACTAGCTTTCAGAAAGCATTGAAGTAGAGAGATATGGATTGCTTTTGTAATTTGTTCAAGACCCTATTTTTATGTATGGTTCAGGGTTAATTCTCGAGTTAGATTTTGCAATTTCGCCTAATATGTTAGCTATTGAGAATAGGTATGCAGTATGCTGTAATGAATAGCTTTTACGAAGCATTGAGCTAGGAAGATATGGATTGCTTTACATATGGCTAAGGCTTCGCGGGCAGCGTTATTGGTACCTGTATGGCTGTGTTGGTTGAGGTAGTAGGTACCTGGTGAAATAGTTGAGGAGCGTGAAAGTTGGCCCTGACACCACGTCATAAGAGAAAAGGGATTGCTTTTCAAGTCACCTGTATGGCTGTGTACAAAATTTTCTATTTTGAGAAGTCTTTAAGTTTCGCTAGAGTAAATGGATACTTCTCAAGTACCCAAACTGCTGTTTGGTGATTTTGGTGTTACCCTTCTAGGATTCTATCATCTTTTAGAAGTCTGAATTTAGTTGGCTAAGAAGCAAATTATACGGTGTGCTGTTCTCTTATTTGCTTCTTTAACACGTTGTGCTGTTGCTATCCAATTATTTGGATAATCCTCACTATCATTTTTGAAGTTATGCAAATTGGCTCCTAAGAGCTTTGTGTAGACTCTAGAATAATTGTCTACTCTTTCCCCCTTTGCATCTCAAGTTCTATTCCACATTGGAAACAAAAACTAAGCAAAAGAAATAGACATGCGAGATTATTGTTCGTTATATTGTAGTCCAGAAGGTTGCAGAGTTTCAGGTTGGATGGGGCCGCTGTATGTGCTTCCTGCAATTTTGTTCAGACAGTTGTGTGTGTGTATTTGCTCTTGGTCTAGTTCGGTGTTGTTGAAGTAGACTCATGGAGTATATTAAATCATTCTCGTGAATTTACGTATTGCATCCCTTTACAAATACGAGAGTGAGAGCAATTATATTTTACGGCAAAAAAGTTACTTAATTTATTCCTTAACTCTTCAAAGTGATCTTGCAACTCTTCAAACTGATATTGCTGTGAAAGCATGTATGGCATGTATGGCTCGTGCCATGACTTGTTCGTTTTTTGTATTGAATATTACTTAGCTTTTTGTATTGAGTATTACTTTGGCAGTTACCACTACAATGTATTAAAACATACTGTATAATCTGATTAGCAGGTTATCATTTTGTACAAGAAGGTTAGGTCATCCCCTCCTTGTGTAACAGCCCAGTCCACTAGTGATATTCTTCGCTTTGGGCCTAGGCCCGCACGGCTTTAAAATGCGTCATTAGGGTATAAGGCTTGTTTACTTATATACCCAACAACTCTACCGTGTTTTGTCGGTGTGGGATCGCCTAGGGTGTTACATACACCCGCCCTTAAGGGACTCACCAGTGATATTGTCCACTTCGTTAGGCTTGTTTACAGTGCTTTGCACAACATTGACAATAAAAGAGTGACTTGGAACTTTAACCGGAAAAAAAATTACTTAGTTTTTAATATTTGCGAATCGAGTTCTGTTTCCTATCTGCTTACTTCTTCGCAATTGTAATTCCAGATTCTAGAACAGGCCCAGGCAGTGAGAGAAAGGAATACAGTCATCGCCAGACACTTGAGGGCAGTTTAGGAAATGCTCTCAAGTCTTGCAAAATTGATCTATCTGCTGTCAGCCATCTCAAGTCCTTTACCTTCAATGACCTCAAGAATGCAACTAGGAACTTTCGAGCTGATAGTCTTCTTGGTGAGGGAGGATTTGGATATGTCTTCAAAGGATGGCTAGACGAAAATACGTTTACGCCTTGTAAACCAGGGACAGGGATGGTAGTGGCCGTCAAGAAACTTAAGCCAGAAAGCTTTCAGGGGCACAGAGAATGGCTTGTATGTTCATTTATAAGCCTTCAGATTTTTTTTAATGTTTTGTTTGTGGCACTTGTTCTCAGTGATAATAACTTAGTGTCCCTCGCATCAATTCTGCAGGCAGAGGTTAACTACTTAGGGCAGCTTCGCCACGAAAATCTTGTGAGGCTAATTGGATATTGCGTAGAATGTGATAACAGGCTTCTTGTTTATGAGTATATGACCAAAGGAAGCTTGGAAAATCATCTGTTCAGAAGTGAGTCAATCTCTTCATTTGCCGAATTCTTTATAATCATTTTTCTCAATTTTTCCTGTCATTTAGGTAGGATTTTGTACAGGGGCACATATGTACTGTATACGGCACAGTTTCAGCAGAACCCCAGTAACTTTAGATCAAACCTTGTATTTATCCTGGAAAATTCATTTAACATGTACAAATTATAAATTTAGAACCCAGTAACTCCAAAGGGGAGAATCCAAAAGGACCAGAACCAACAAATTTTAAATCCTGGATTCGCCTCTGATTTGTATGCTTTATTATGTAGTAGTGCCGGACATTTTTCTCAAGCATTGATATAACGCTAATACTCCAGAAGTATTATTATCTCTTAGTAAGATAATTGTTCATGCAATTGAAGGATCTTTTCTGTGATCTTCTGAAGAAAGCAGTTCATTGCGTCGAATACTTGTACAACAAAGCCAACTCAATCTAGGCTGGACTCGAAAATCTTTTCCTAAGCTTTTCTTCCCCGCTTGCTTTTGTTCTTATCGATTACTCCCTCCGGTTCACAATAAGTGACCAATTTGCCTTTTTATTTTGGTCCAAAATAAGTGTCCATTTATATAACCAAGAAAAATTCAATTTGTTTTTCCAAAATTACCCTTATGTACGTATCCCTAAAAAGTCTTTACTCCTCACATTAACTATGCTGCAGCATTTAATTAAGGGTAGTTTAGTCACACTAACTATTTTTGTCTAGAATTTAGTATTTCCTTATGGGTGTGCCCAAGGCAAATTGGTCACTTATTGTGGACCGGAAGGAGTATAATTCTATTGTTTCTTGTAGCATGTTTTCATCTACTGCCTCCATTTTTGATACATTTAAAATCAGTGCATAGTATGCGTTTCCGGAAAGTTGCTGAGAAGACTAGTAATGTTTCCTTTTTTGTGCAGAAGGAGTTCAGCTTATGACTTGGGGTAAACGGATGCACGTTGCAGTAGATGTTGCACGAGGACTGGCCTTCTTGCATAGTCTGGATGCTAATGTCATCTATCGGGACCTCAAGGCATCAAACATTCTACTTGATTCGGTACAATCTCTACGTCTGAGATATTGATTAGCATCAGAAAACTGTTGATTTCGATCATACAACCTGCTAAGGTCACAAATGAAATATTTCATTGAACATCTGCAGGATTTTAATGCGAAACTATCAGATTTTGGCCTCGCAAGGGATGGTCCTGATGGAGATAGAACTCATGTTTCAACCAGGGTCATAGGAACTCGGGGTTATGCCGCACCAGAATATGTAGCAACAGGTAAGTTTCAATCAGTTTGTCAACTAATCCATCTCCATTAAACTATTCACCTTGTGATTACTGTGACCCACGGTTGGTATCTTGTATATCTTATCTCAAGGCAACCCTCAATTACTTGTAACAGGTCATTTGACTCCAAAGAACGATGTATATAGTTTCGGTGTTGTTCTGTTGGAGCTGCTATCAGGAAAACGAGCTACAGGCGAGGAGAACCCGGGAGGTGCTGAGGAAACATTGGTAGAATGGGCGATACCTTTCCTAAGCGACAGCAGACGAGTACTGAGAATCATGGATACAAGGTTCGGAGGGCAGTACTCAAAGAAAGGTGCACAAGCTGCAGCAGCACTCGCCTTACGGTGCCTCAATGTAGATCCAAAACTTAGACCAACAATGGATGAGGTATTATTAGCTACACTAGAGCTTTTGCCAACACCAAAAGATATTCCTAGGACTTTACCAACACAGGCAAATAATGCAGCAAATAACAAGATAAGTCATCATCAAAAGAGAGTTGTCACACATTCAAGATAAATGTACCAACACTGTATGGGTCAAAATCTGATCCCATGATAATTAACGAGGCTAATCCCGTTTTAAGTTAATTCATGATTAATTAACGGCACGAACACTCAGGATTGACAACGGTCAACCCGCCTCTAGCTCGGTCGACAAGGCCCTGGCCTACGCGCCAATACAAAAGGCGAGATCTCAACGTGGTTACGGCCACTTATCGCCAGCTCACGAAGCTCACAGCTATAAATACCAAGAGAGGAAACCCCAGAAAGGGGGCTGCTTCTCGACCACTAGTGAGAGGAGAGAGAAACGAGAAAAGATACCCCTCTTATGAGAAGAGAAAACACCATTGTAAGGCTCTGAACCTCTCCATGGAGAGGCAGACCAAACAAATATTATCAATAAAGGTTTCTAATGCTTCTCCCCTTAATCGTGAGTTCTTATTTTCATGTCTTTCAATTGGTCCAACGGATTATTACGATTTGCTATGATTATCCCGGGATTTATTTATGTTGTTTTGTACTCGTAAGATGTGTAACATTTTTTGAGCGAACAAACACATTCTACATATATTTTAAGATAGGTGGTCTTTTTCTTCTTTATTTGTTTGTTGTTTCCCTTGTTTGATGAGGAAGAAAAATATCAGTATAGTGCTTGAGTGTAATATGTAAAATGTATATATATTTAAAATGTATATCTGTAGTACTCTTTGTTTCAGAACTTATGTTTTATTTTTTTCTGTCTCAAAGAGAACGACTTCTTCCTCAAAAAGGGAAAGCATGGTAAAATTTTCCGCATCTGGTATTTATACTAAACTATACTAATTTACCATAGTTAAACCATTCAGTGATAGTACTGTATGTGAGTACAAGAAGGGAGGAGGAGGGTGTCTTGGCGTAACTGGTAAAGTTGCTGCCATGTGACCAGGTCACGTGTTCGAACCGTGGTAACAACCTCTTGCAGAAATACAGGATAAGGCTGGTATGATAGACCCTTGTGGTCCGGTCCTTCCTCGGACCCTGCGCATAGCGGGAGCTTAGTGCACCGGGTCGCCCTTTTAGTGTATGTGAGTACATGTGTCATGTATTAATTGGGTTAGTGTAAACACCGGGTGCAAGTAAATTTTTACTGAAAAAGCATACTGTGTAATAATGATGATGATTTTGCAGAATATTTTGTGGTAGCTAATGATACTAGGCATGCTCTTTCAACAAAGAGAATTGACAGAGGAGGTGGTATATATAAAGGAAATAAGTAGAGTGGGGCAAGTGACATTTGAATTGGGACATTTACTAGTTCCTTCGTTTGATTGGTCTTGTCCAATTTTGACAATGATTTATCCTTATAGTTTTCAAAGACAACTTGTTTTGAAAGCTGTTTTGGCTTCATAAAGTTTTGAAAAAACAAAAAGTGGGTCCTTCATGGTTTATATTAATACATAAATACAATTTATGTATAGAACTTCCATTCTGTTTATGATGTATTTTTGCGATTCCATATAAGTTTCTAAGTGAATGGGAGCTTGGAGCAACGGTAAAGTTGTCTCTGTGTGACTTATAGGCCAAGAGTTCGAGCCGTGGAAACGGTAAAGTTGTCTCTGTGTGACCTATAGGCCAAGAGTTCGAGCCGTGGAAGCAGCCACTAATCCTTACATTATGGTAGGCAGGGTGGTCAGACAGGGGATAATGAAAAGCTATTCTTCATAGGTACATTTCTTTTTTTGAGGGAGCTGATAATCAAGAATTCTTGACGGGTATGGAGCTAGAACAACCTATTCTTCCTGAATATTCCGATTTAATTTAAGGCTAAAGAATTTCCTGCCGCTTCCATACAATATTCATCTCTACCTGTGATAAATAAAGCATCCATTTTTAAAAAATTGTGAAAGGTGTCTACTAATTATACAAACTGCACATTTGACAAGGAAAATGAAAATTATAATTCTCCTTAGTGGATTCCTTCTTTATTTTATTTTTTTTATGTTTTTTTTTTAGAGGGAGCTGAAAAGCTTAATACAATTGTCAGAAGAGTATACCAGTTATACAAACAGCAAGTGATTAGGAACAAACTCCTACTCATGATAATAAATAGAAATTCCTCACATGGTCACTTTCTCATGGGAGAAAAAAGTCCCACTACAAAGAACAGACCACAACCAAAAAAAGAACAAAAAGGGGAAGGAAAGAAAGAAAGAAAGAAGTTGTAAAAGTTTTTACATATGTGGTAGAACCAGCAAAAGCTAATGCTATTGCTCTTCATGGTAGTAATATGTTCACCCTCAGCGATACGCACTTGATAATACCCCGACCGCAAATCAAACTTCGTGAAGTATCGTGCTCCACTCAATTGATCGAAAAATACTACCTATTTTGCATGTCCTCTTCAGTTTTCCACACTACATCCTCTAGACTAGTTGAAAGACTCTTGTAAAACTGCATGAAGTGTACAACAAAATGATCAAACAATGAATAATTGATGGAAAAATAGATATCGTTCGAGATTGATTAGTAACTAAGAGGTCAGGAACAAGAGGATAATGCAAAGACTAATAGGATCTAAAAATCAACGAGGTATTAACGACGCAAAACACAGTGTTATGGTCCATTGCAAGATATGGGACTTGACTTGAGTCCCACATCGGTATTGCAATGTGTTGATGTAGGATTTATATAGCCTTGGGCTCTCCCACCTCAATAGCTAACTTTTGGGGTGTGGTTCTCCCTGGGTTGTATCAATGGTATTAGAGCCACCGCCCTCCATGCTCACCATGCCATGGATGGTGACGCCGGTATTGCAGTGTTTGTTCGGGGCTAAAAAGGTCTAGCTCACAGCTGCAGTGTTCGTCCGGGGCTAGAAAGGTCTAGCTCACAGCCGTCGAGGACGACGGATCTGGAGCGTGGTGGTTTGTTATGTTCCACTACAAGGTATGAGACTTGAGTCCCACATAGGTATTGCAATGTGCTGATGTAGAGTTTATATAGCCTTGGGCTCTCCCACCTCAATAGCTAGCTTTTGGGGTGTGGTTCTCCCTGGGGTGTATCACACGACAAAAACCTATGCGTTTTGGAAATAAGTACATAGATTGCTACTACACAAGCATGACCATTTATTAGCTAAACATCCATTACTTCTTTCATGTATCTATTAGCTAAACAGTTAACTTGAGGTTTATGTTCCTGCTAGAGCAATCAGCTTGTGATTATACAATGGTTTCACCTATCGAAGCCTACTAATAGTGGTATACACAGTTCAGCATTGTCATTTAGATAACTTTTTTTGGCAATTAGCAAAATATGGTACCTTGTGGAATTCCAAAGTATCTCCTTTTGCTTTTCGCACTTCAACCATATGAAGAGAAGGGGCGACTTGAAATACCTAAATTGCAGGCCAAACAATGTTCAGGATACAACGGCAAAAGATGCACATTTCGGAATAATGATGGCAATCTCGATAATACAAAAAGAAAAAGTAACAATAAATAAGATAAAACAAATGACCAATTAATAAATTGAACATACCTCAGTGGCAACATTAAGGTTCCCTTTTCTTCCAGCTTTAACATTTTCCAGCCTCATCTGAGGTAAAAGAGTAGAATCAGGCCAAGTGCACAGAATCAATATTAGATAAAATTAATTTAACTAATTAGGGATCTAGATGCCGAGTGAAATGCATGTTTGAAATTCATCACCACCTTGTAATTCTTTTTGTGAACATCAAAACCAAGGGGCTTTACAGCTTCTTCAATCTTACTGATTATTTCATTGGCCGGGCATTTAGATGTGAACCTTGTTTCTCTCTTAAATTCCTGCGAACAATGGAATGAAAACATCTGTCAATGGAGGAAGAATATTGTAATATACACATCATCAATGTTTCCGACAAAATGGAGGACCTACTTAGTAGTCGTCAATGTTTAAAAACTTAATGTTTTTAACTTCCGTATTTTCATCCTCGCTCACATGAATAACTTAAATGCAAATCAAACTGGGAATTCTGAATAATAATTCGTCACGAGAGGACTGTTGTTACATTGAGATTCCAGAAGCCTTATGCGGCATAAGATGTTGAAATTCAACACACAGGAGAAAGAGATAGAAGTTAGTATGTATATGCATGCAATATTACTGCAACGTTTTGAGACGTCCAGCGCTTACTTAACAACTAAATATGATGAATCGATCAGGTTAGCACAACTCAGGGCCTTCAGGTTCATGTCTGCAAAAAGTCATCTATCCTACTGTGTAATATGCAAAGAAGCTGTTTTTACAACACATAACAGTTTCTTGACTTCTCTCTCCCATTTTGATGTTTTGGTGTTAGAATTGGCTGTGGAGGGCTTCGCAACTTGATAATAACTGGAGAACATTTATAAACAAAAAATAATCCAAGGTATTATCATCAGTAAAAAGTGACTTTTCATTAACCATATTCTTATACCAAGTTACCAAAATTATCTGAAATTCACATTAATTTCATTAAAGCATGTCCCTACTGAGTCAGAATAATCATACATGATGTAACTCCAGGTACAAGCACCATGCTAATCAAGCAGAAGTTCCAAAATATGCAAGAGAAATAACAGAGAAAGACGGAAGTTCATAGGCAATAACCTGTTCATCGAAGAGATTCCCAAGGTTGAGTCCTCTTGACATTGAGATCAACTCGAATGCGTTCATAGGAGTTGGCTGCTCTTCCTTTTTCTCTGTTACATGATATTCCTGCTTTGTGCCCAAAAAAAAAAGAACCAAGTGAGGATAACTTCATACATCAATCAATTCTTTCCTCTGAAGTCAATGCAAAATTTGTTCCATATTCCGCTATGCTCACTTCAGAATCCTTGAATACAGCTTCAACATCATCCAGGTTGGCATCTTTTTTCTCATCAAAAACAGGAGGTTTATAATCTTTCTTGAACCACTCATCCTCCAAAATTTCTGGGATGGTAATACGCTACATAGGAAACACATGTAATAAATAAGAGAAATAGAAGATGTTACATATCCGGTTGCAAGCTCTAAATCCAGAAGTATTCAGTATGCTTACTGTCATAGGATTTGGATCCAAGATGCGAGTAATTAACTTCATAGCGCCAAAAGACATCCAAGGTGGGCAAGAAAATTCAGCAGCGGAGATCTGCATAAACCGTGATAGACATTATGAAACTAATAACAAAAACAAAAGTAGATTTGACTCTATAATGAATTCGTAAGAAATGCTCACTTTTTTATACAGGTTCATAAGATTAGAGTCATCAAAAGGCAAGTAACCTGCAAGCAATACAAAGAGTATGACTCCACACGACCAAAGATCCGCTGTTGTGCCATCGTATCCATGATCATTGAGTACCTAAGAAAGGAATCTCATTTTTTAGACGAAGAAAAAACAAGAAAAAAGGTGCACATGAAGAGGACTTCTTTTTTTTTTTTTTTGGTGTAAGAGAGAGTTGTGGAGACCAATTTCATCACACCTCAGGAGCAACGTAGTTAGGGGTTCCACACGAGGTATGTAGTAAGCCATCATCCTGAAAATTTGAGTTAAAAATAAGAACTACATTTGATTCCAAACGGAAGATTAACTATCACCAAAATGAAAGATATATATTGCATTACTACTGTTGCTTGAAGCTGTATTTCAAATTCGAACTAATCACAAGATGATACATGTAGAGAAAGTAATGACTAGCATGATTTCGGAGTTCTCCAGCTAAAAAGGAAAAAAAATCCATTCCGTCAATGACAAATTAACTGCCAAGGCCCATCCATTTTTGCTTCAAAAAAGTGAACCGAAAATGATGTTTAGACTAGTTAACATCATAGGAAGAAGCAGAAATAGATTTCAGTATCGTGCTGGCTTGTTTCTATAGTGACAACAACTCCATTTGTGATTTTAAAATTCCTACCACTTGATTCTCGATTGGGCTTTCCATGGAGATTTCTGGTCCCTTTTTTTTTTTTTTGGGGGGGGGGGGGGGAAGGGGGTTGTGAATCATCACTACCAAATTTCTCAAAGGCAAAATGTACAAAAAGCAATCAGTAAAGGACGTTAAGACTTCAGACATTGTTACACAATCTCCCAGCAGCTTTTCTCAACTGAAGATTCACTGAATTATTTCTGACAACCACAAATTAACAACTTAAACGACTCATATCAAAAGTTGGGGACATATGTTAAGGGTGAGAAAACATATGATCAGATATTTACCCTGACTTGCTGGGACAGAGCACTCAATCCAAAATCAGAAACTTTGAGGTTTCCAGAGGCATCCAACAGTAAATTTTCAGGCTGCATCATTAAAGAATGTCAAAATAAAGGTAGCAAAAACAAAGCCAGAAGCTTTAAGGAAAAAACAGAACAGAAATTAACAGCTAAAAATGCTGCAAAAGTAACACTTCCCACCTTTAGATCTCTATGGTAGACTCCCCTGCTATGACAATAATCAACAACATTAATGAGCTGCTGAAAATATTTCCTTGCTTCTTTTTCATGCATCCGTCCATGATTTACCTGTACGCCAATAAAACAGATAATATCTTTAATCACATGCTAAGTGTCAGATAAGTGCGGAGAATAGGTTTGAATAGCTTCGGTAGGATACATGGAAACTAAGTTCGCAATCAACGAGAAACAAGTTTTGTGCTCTTTGGTCAAATTCTTTATCTCCTAAGGTAGGGGGGAGCGAATGAATTAGAAGAAAAGAAGAATCGCCCTTACAATTTTATCAAAGAGCTCTCCACCTGTAATGAATTCCAGAACAATGAATATCTTCGTCTTGCTACCCATCACCTGCAGGCAGATGAAAAGGATATGGATTCAAAGTTTAACATATGAAACCCCGGCCGTCATCATAAGCCACAACGACATCTTCTCTTTAGTAGGTTATTGCTGATTTTGATAACAGAAGTAGGTTATCGTCAACGGATTTGTTATAGCAGGCAGCATTTGGTATACAACATCCCAAAAGGTCTTTTAACAAAATTTTGAACATTTAACAGGAGAGAAAAATACATGTCTGTTCCCAAATGGGAAATTAACAATTCCAGCTCCCTTTTTGGTAATTTTGACTTAAAACTTTTCTAGTTCTCTCATTTTTCAAGATTTTGATGGTGCATCTCAAAAAGAGTATAACTCTTGAAAATTTGGAAAGTACCATATGAGTAGATCAAGAAGATTAACTAACTACTCCAGTATATTAGCCAATTCCACCGCAGTATATGGATACCAGCAAATTATCTGCATGCCAATATAGGTTGTGTTAAAGGCCAGAATCTGCCCTAATACATGTCAGTAATACTGAAAATACATGCTGTACAATGGACCTTGTCTTGTCCAAAAGTGAGTCATAAATTCTCAACAGTTGCTAAATATGTTTTGATAGGCCAGTTGGTTAAAATATCCCTCCGGTATCCTGAGTTAAAGAATTCTGACAGATCGTTGATGCGAAGATCTAAAGTGAAGTTCTCAACATATGATGGATAACCAAATGCAAAGTAATGGGTTGCTTAATAATTAACCTAAAGGTTGGAGGTACCGAAAACAGTGGTGTAAGATCCAATTACACATCCATTATGATCAGAGAGACCACATACATAGGCTCGCACAAACACACATAAGCACATGTGCATTGACATAGAGAGGACCAACCTCGTATAACCTAACAACATGTGGATGTCTGATTAACTTCATTGTAGCTATCTCCCGCTTTATCTGTCAATTTATGAACAAGAATAATAAATAGTTAACATTGCCAAAACGAAACAATCATTCAAAAAACTTAAAACTGTAAAAGGAAGGATAACAAATGGATAACAACTCAATCGCCACGTCAGATGTCGAAGAAACATTATTCACATAGCTTTTGTGTAATATATGTTATGATTTGTAAGTGGATAACATCAGACAATAGAAAGATACGAAAGTTCAAGAAAGCATAACGTATGAATATATTGAAGACTGACCTGCTCAGCCATTTTGTGTTTAAGGACCTTATCCTTATCAAGAATCTTGATTGCTACAGCTTCTCCTGTCTCTGAATTCCTTGCGAACTTAACTTTAGCAAATGTTCCCTCACCAATTGTCCTTCCCATTTCATATTTACCAACTCTACGCTTGATTTTTGCCTGATTCATTACTAAGATACAGGGACGATCCTCTAAAAAGTGCAGTCGCAATCCTCCTTAGAGAACTTTTTACTGCACAATGATTAAAACTTTGGTAAGACATCTGATTTCCTAACATATATTACCCTCAAGTAATAGCAAACCATTGGAGTAAAGCAAATCAGACTAGTCATCACATTCATTCCGTATACTCGAAGAGTTCCCAGACCAATTTCTAAAAATTAAAATAAAACAGATATTCTAACACAACTTGACTAACTGCAGATAAAAGCACACAACTAATGCTTTATAATCACAAAAATTTGTTTATTTACTTCTCTTATTTGTTTAACGAGAAGGAGCAAGAATCAAGGCGCAAAACCATTTAATTAAAATAAGTCCATTATAATAGTATTACACTTCAAGGAAATGAATAAAGAAAAAGTGAGACTTCAATTAAAAACAAAGACTTATTGATTGAATCAATAACCAAAATGACATTGGTCTCTCCCTCTCTCTATTTGTGTGTGTGTGTGTGTGTGTGTGTGTGTGTGTGAGAGAGAGAGAGAGAAAGAGAGAGAGAGAGAGAGAGAGAGAGAGAGAGAGAGAGAGAGAGAGAGAGAGAGAGAGATGCCACTACCTAAAACTTTTTGTGGCAAAATCAACAAAAGATCACAGCAAAATACAGCTATAAATGAAACTATAGCCTCACCAAAACAAACCAAAAAGATCTCCACAAGATTGTGATATTACAAGCTTAAGTTCTATGACTTCACAACAGATTCCACAAAACAAATGCAAAGAAAAAACCCCAATTTTCTTGAAATAGAAACAACAACAACAACATACTCACTATAATCTCACAAGTGGGGTCTGGGGAGAGGCTAGTGTGTACACAGACCTTAACCCTACCTGGAGAGGTAGAGAACTGTTACCGGCAGACCCTCGGCTCAAGATAAGGAGGAAAGGAGGAAACTCAAAAAATAAACTTCAAATCCAATCAACCAACAAAACCCAAAATCAACAAGCTTCACAATTTGCATAAAAATACAAACTTTCTTGATAAAAATAAGGAGAAGCTCAAAAAAGGAGCCAAATTTGATGTCCAATTAAACAAATAGCAATAACAAAATAACCCCTTTATTTCAAAAGCTAAGTACACAAAAATTGCAGAAAAAAGGCAAGTTTTTTTTTCAAGGGAACTTCAAAAAAAAGGAAAAGATCTCAATCTAATAAGATTCAGAATCCCAAAATTCACAATTTCAAGAAACCCCAAAAGGCAAAATTCCTAATTATAGCTAATTCCCCACATGAACAAAACTCATAAACATATCAAAACAATACAAATATTCCAATATTCCCAACAAATTCCAAAGCCAAAAAAAACTTAATATAAATGTAGCTATTTTGCATGCAAGCTGTTCCAGACACCACAATTATTTAAAAAAATATTAAAAGCAAAAAAAGCAAGAAGGAGAAAAAATACATACTTTGAGCTGAACTTTAAATTTGGTCTTGGCCTAAAAAGATAAAGATAAAAAATTTATGAAGATGAATATGAAGAAGGAACAAGAAGATATTAAAGACGGCTTTTGTTGTTTTATTGGGCCAAAAAAAGATTACAGCGGCTTATAATTCTGAATGAATTTGGACAAAAACATATGGTCAGTGGAAAAATCCCAGCAACCAAATCTTGAAATTCACCTTTGTAAAATGCCACTGCAAATATTTGTCCCAACAAAAAGATGTAAAAAATGATTCTTTTATATATTTAAAAAAAAAAAAGTTGTTTACCTCTCTTCCAATGAATCTCAAGTGGTTTTTGTATCACCACCACACAACTATAGGAAAATTGTTGTAGTTATTGGAATAATATACAAATCTCAATGTAGCTGTGGTATTTGTTCCGATATTTTTTGATACTATAGTGAAGTGTTGTTATAATTATAATATTATAATATAACATAAAATATCGGTTCTGAATTTATTTTTACTTTTATAGTAAATGAATTTATACAGAAATATTATTATAAAGAGGTTTGCCTGTATATTTTATGAGTGGAGTGATATTTTTACAAAGACACACAAATTCATCTATTAAATGAATATAAAAAAATAAGACATTAATTGAACTTTAGTCTTTATATCTCTATGTACGGAAAAATTTTATTGATTTATGATGACTTATTGTTTGGTTGTTATGGTAGGTGTGCTCGCGTATGTCGGTAAGGGTAAAATATGCGTATACACTATCCTACACTAAATTTGTTATTATTGATGTTAGTAGGTATAATCGTGTGAATTGGATTTGCAATTATTTTTTTTATTTAAAAGAAAAAATTATGACAGTGATATATAAGTTAGTTTCACACACATTTTTCTTTGCTATAGTGTACTTGTTATATTATTAGTTGTCTCTATAATATAAACGTGATTCTTTCGTGATTTTCATCTATCTCATTGACTATTAGGTCACGCCTTATGTGCATTGAGTTTTTTTGTCATTTAATTTTCTTCTTTTTATGTGATATTAAAAAGAATAAAAAGATAGTAATAAAGAAAATTGACCTTATCAATGTTACAATATATAATATGCTTCATGTAGATTATAAGAACTTTACATGCATTTGTATAAAGACCAACCATATATTTTTTTTTACCAAATATTCTGTTATTTCTAGTCAAACTATTTAACTAATTAATGTGTTTCAGTAAGCATATGAAAGCACATGGTATCTTTGGTATAGTATATTCTTAAATTTAATAATAAACTATTACCTTGAGAGTTCTTGTACGTATATTCAGCAAGTGGACATTATTTTTTTAGGAGTAATTAATTTCAGCAAGAAAAGGAAAAGAAAAATTGTCTCCATCTTATAGCATATTATGTATATTTTATTTGTAACGTAAAGCTAGATCTCATATGAATAATAAATATTACACTTATTAATTTCAGCAAGTGGACATTCGGTTCAAAACTCTATAAAAGATTGCACAACAAACTTAAATTAGAGAGACACCCAATTAAGTAATAAATATGAAAAAGGTTCACACTTATGCTATGAAAAATATTTATAATTTATCTACGCACGATATCTATATCAAATCAATTAAATATATATGTTTATGCTACATATAAAACTTTTACAATTTTAAACATAATTAAGTAATAAATATGTCACTTTAATTTCGTGACTCCTAAAATAAATTTATTAAATATAATATGCCATGCAAATATGTGTATTTCACTTGACTCGTGGCATGTCGTACTTTTTTCTTCCAAAAAATAGCACGGGCTAGCCAATTTTCGGATTGGTCGTTCAAAAATAGCCAGCATTTGCAAAGTCATTGAAAGATAGCCACTATTTTGCTGCAACACGGAAAGTTCCAATATAATATACTGGAGATCGGTGAACCTGTGTATGAACTTCTAGCATATTATGCTGGAACTAAAAACACGCGAAAAGTTCTAGTATATTATGCTGGACCGGTATATTATACTGGAGTATTTTTTCGGATTTTGAATAGTGTTTTCGTTCAAATTTATCTTTACATGAAAAGTGGCTATATTTCGATTACTTTTGAAACGGTGACTATTTTTAAATGACCACTTGTAAATCTGGCTATTTTTTAATTTCTCACATGTTATCCGCATTAGGGCCCCATAATAATTCGAATTTACGATATATATAAGTTCTCTGTCATGATTTTTTTTTCATTTTACCGCACTAAAAGGCGAAATCTGTAGTTGAGGATGGACGAATCATATTTATCCTATCACAATCCTTGATTATATTTATGATTATTTAGGTGGCAAATTTAATCATGACAATATTATTAAAAGGATATGATTTGGTAGGCCAAAAATAAAAAAATAATGATCTTGGAAAGGAGAATATAGTCCATGTGTTAGATCTGGTAAGTGGGTCCAAAGAGTCATAACAATTAATTTGTTGAACTTAGAAAAATCTTTAGTGACAACAACTGCACTTATCTTCTCTTGTCCTTATTATGTACGTACGTACTGTGTTCTTGTACTTATCTGTTTGTTCGTATTCCTTATTTTTCTTTTTGGTTTTCATTTAAATATCCTTGTTATATTATTCATTTAGGTTAGACATGAATTTGAAATATTAAATTTATGAATGCATGTATCATAACTTTCCTATGAATGCAAGTATCATAACGTTCTTATGACAAAGAAATATACTTGCTATATTGTGATATATGTATGTATTATATGTATATAATATATTAAAAACTTGTTAAACTATAGTTGTATTTATTTAAATAGGAGGACAATGATATATAACCACCTATGTTTGTATGGTTTTAGAAAGCTGATTTGGTGTTGTCATATCGTGTTTTATGTGACCATAATATATATATATATATAATACTCGTGATACCCGGATCAACTTGAATGCACCTCGATTATTTCACGAGATACCTGCTACATCCCATCAGTATGTGACCATAATATTTTTTTTAATAACCGTGATACCGGTCAACTTGCACGCACCTCGACTAATTTTACAAGGTATCTGCTACCTTTCACCGGTATATGACCATAATATTTTGTTACATTTACTATTATTATACCAATATAGTATGCCTTTTACATGACTTCTCGTTCTACGATATGATGACAAAAACAAATTAAGATGAAAGTAGCTCCGAGTATAGATAGAATTAAATATGCAGAAGACAAAATAAACCACCAGGTTGCATGTCACATGCCTTAGTCACTAGTCCACAAAATTGAGAACGTAACATATGAAATAGGAAAATATTACTCAAGCCCCCTCTTAATTAATTCTCATGTAAAATTAAAACATGCAATATATATATATAGAAATAATTACAAGAAAATACACCTGACTTCATATTATAACAAAAAATGGCCCATATTTTTAAGTTTTACCTGATCTAACCTATATTTTACATATTTTGGAAGCACTAGCAAATTCAAAATCTGTTTTCTTACAACCATTGCTTCTAAAAGCTATGGAGTTAAATCTATGTTCTCACAACCATCTTTTACTCTCTTTTCTTCTCACATCTTCTACATATGCTTCAAGGGACCGTCCGCCATTACTGCTTCTTCCTTGTGTCACTTGGTTGCAATGTAAGAAAATTGAAGATTCAACATTCCACCATTGAAGGCCATTCAAAGCTTTGCTTTCAAAAATAAGATTTTTTGAGTTTGTTAGTTGTTTGGATTGGGTGTTGTTCCAATTGATTGAAAATATCAAACGGAGTTCAAAATTTAAATTTGAAGTGATTTGGAGTAGATTGAGCAAGATTTGAGTTAAATTTCAAAAAAAACGCAAGGAAGAAGACGAAGTCAGTTTTTTGTATAATTACGTAGAATCTTGTATAATAGTGTATATGAGTGTATAAACACATCTTATACACTATTATACATTTTTATACATCTTTATACAAGCGTATGTAGATGAACTTCTTCCACGATTTCAGTTGCAATTCTTGTTCAAAATCAGTGCAAATCTCCATTAAATGACTTCAAATTTTATATACAACCTCCTTATACTATTTCTAACAATTCTAGATAATACCCACTCCAAATTTCTCACAAAATCAAATTCAAAATTTAAACCCACATATTTAAACTTGTTAAAAATTTAATTTTCACCATCCAAATGGATTTGGTTTGTTGAACTAATATTTTTTGAGTTACACTTACTGATTCGAAAATTAACTTAAAGCTTGGGCAATCTTTTTTTAAAAATTAAATAGTAATTTTGAGAACCTATTGGAGTTGAATGTTGAATCTTAGCCTATTATTTTTGGGCTAGTTGGTTGTAAATTGAAATATAGGCTATAAAATTGAAAAGCAAGGATCCCAATTATTTTTATGTGAAATTTCCCCAATTTTTTACCTCCACCTAGCTATAACCACCTACTTTCACATATTTCATACATAATTAATGATATAACATGTAGTTAATTACATGCTAAACACATTTATGTATTTGTACAAATGAAAGAAAAGTGATGTTTTATAAGATCAATTAGGAGTCTTTTTTTTCTTGTTTAATAAACAAAGATATCTCCATTAATCCTTTTCTTTTCGTTTTCTCCTAGAAATAAGAAAGACGATTACTACACTTGAATTATGTTATTTGTAAGTGTTTTGAGGGAAAAATAAACCATATTTACATTTGTTACCGCTGGTAATTGAAAAATAGCACAATTTTAAAAGCGATCGAAATTTAACCACTTTTTCATGTAAAGATAACATCCGAACGAAAATACGCTTCAAAAGATACGAAAAAATTCCACCATAATATACTGGAGTTCGAATGTTTTAAATATGAGATTCCAGCATAATGTGCTTGAATTTCATAACGTGTTGGATCTCCAACATAATATGCTGGAAGTCTATACGCAAGAACTCCATAATCTAGCATATTATGCTGGAACTTTCCGTGTGCTAGAGTTCCAACATAATATGTTGGAAGTTCATACACAGGAGCTCCATAATCCAGCATATTATGCTAAAACTTTCCATGTTTCAGCAAAATAGTGGTTTTTTTTAAATGACCTTGCAAATGCTAGCTAATTTTCAATTACCAATCCGAAAACTAGTTAGCCCGTGCTATTTTCACTCTAAGGAGGGTAGGCATACGCAAACCTTACCTCTACCTTGTGTGAGGTAGAGAAGTTGTTTCTATTAGACCCTCTAGCCTAAGATATGAGAAAGTACAAATACCACAACTCCACAAATTTTAAAGAAGAACCTGTAGATTTTCTGGTATTCTATCACACAACATATATATGTAGGATGAGATATGAGAGTAGCAGTCTAGCAAGTCTGGCTGCAACCAAACATGATAACAGCCCACCAAAAAGAGAAAAAATTACAATGCATGCGCGTACTGACAACAAACCAAAGCTGCTCTAAATTTGGAATACAAATGGAAGTATATGAGTTATCACAAAACAGAAAACCAAACCCATAAGTTAGGATTTTAGTCCTCCAATAGCATTGTGAATGACAAAACGCAGTCGACTCAAATGACATAAAAGAAACCGTTGCCTAGCATAAACAGCCACCATCAGTCTTGGACCAAAACGGAGGGCTTTGAGAAAAAAGTATATGAACTGTAGATAGGTTTGTTGTAAACGATGACATCAGTTGAGCTATTATCATGTCGATGTAAACACTTTGTGCACATAACAAAAATCAAACCTGTTAGGCTGAACTGGGAACAACGGAGTTATAGTGCTCTCCAAGCCCAAAAGCATGCATGTGGTACGATAGCATTATACTGGAAGTCGAAGAGCCAGAGCCGTTGTCAGATTTGTACTCCTTTCCCATCTCCACATCAGGAAATGAACCAGAGAATATCATTATATGTTTCTTTAAGATGTGAGTTAGAGCACCAAGCTCAAGTTGTCCTCCCCATGCAGCGGTTGACTCCACTTCTCTACAGTAGTTCTCGAATCTTTCCACAAGAGAATCATCTGATTCTCCTCCTTCCGCATTCTCAGAGAGGAAAAAGGGGAGAAAGTCGGTTGCATGTTTCCTCATGTAAGCTGCAACCATCTGTCGCAGTTCAAGATACGTATAAGGAGATGAACCACCGGAGCGGACAGCTAACTGATTCTCAACAGCTCGGTAGAGACAGTGTCCGTCAGGCTTTATTTCGTTAACCATCAATCCAAGGGGCTCAAGCTTACTGTCTAACTTTTCATTCTCAATAACTCGATCACTTACGATATTGCTCTGCTCTTCTTGTATTCTCTGCTCTCGGGCTGCTTCTTGTTGAGCTCTTTTCTCACGCCTCTTGACACTCTTGCTGGGTTTTGAATGGTCATTTTGGCCACCAACGGAAACCCCAGCAATAGCCTTCACCAACGTGTCGAGATTCCCTTTTTCCTTCCCATTATTACTACCACCACTGTAGCCTAAAGAAGAAAGCTCCCCAGCATGCCTTTCTTTGAGATTCGCAGAAAGTTTAGCTACTTCTTCATCCACTTGTTTCTTCTTAGCTTTCTGTTCAGCTTTGCTGCCTTTAGCCGCTGCCTTTTTCATTGCAATTTCTTTGTCCTGTAGCTGAGAGATTTCTTTCCTGCATACAACGATATGATGTGATATGTGTCAACAAAAACTTAAGCTCCCAAATAATTAATTTGAAGTGATAAATGAAGCAAGTGCTTCACAACCAATGCTCATACATTCAATAACTGAATTGCCCTCCGATCTCTTTTACTTGTCAAGTTTGGCTTTTGCATCCCCCCCCCCCCCCCTCCTAAGAGAACATCAATTAAAAGGATAAGTTAACTAAATTGCCCTTATTAATTCTTAGATCTTAATATTACTATTCTTGCATTCACTATATTAATCTCTCTCCACATTTATTAAAGGGTTAAGATGGAAAAATTAATTAAATCTTTCTTGGTTTTCTAAAATGACAAGTATTTTGGATCAAACTATTGTTAGTAAACATGATAACTAAATAGGAACGAAGGGAGCAGTTATAGTAATTTTCATTTCTGCAATTAGAAAAACTTCTCAGTTCTTTCTCTGCATATCAGCATTTTAAAGGGTTAGTAATCCTCCCATAAGCTCATATTTGAGCAATACGAGCAATTGTTGACAACGTTGAAAACATTTTCTGTTAAATGCGATAGGGGTGCGAGCAGAGTATAACCAGTCTTACAAGCAGAACAATGTAATAATCATGTCGAAAGTTGTACACCGAATATCAATACTACAAAGAGAGGGGGGAGCAAAAACCAAGGCAACAAATCCTAAAAGAGCTTTATGAAGTACCTATGCCTGGAAAGCATCTCCTCAAGGGTTTCTGGTATCTTCTCAGACGCACTTTCTGTGGGGCCCTCGGGCAACAGGTCTTCTACTTTAGGTGTATCCTCCATTTCAAAAACCCTGAAACAATATGGACAGCAAATAAGCATCCCAATATAGACGGCAAGATCTTAGTAATCAATATAATAATGAAGGAAAGGACAACACGAACGACGACGACGACAACAACAATGACAACAACAACAACAATAATAACAATAATAATAACGATGACAATAATACAACAACAAGAACAAACCCAATAATTTCCCACAAGTGGGGTCTGGGGAGGGTAAGATGTACGCAGCCTTACCCGTACCCTGGAAGGGCAGAGAGGCTGTTTCCGGTAGACCCTCGGCCGGAGAACAGAATGAAAAAAAGTAATGGCAACAAGTAGAAAAACAACAAGATAAAAATAAGACCGAAGCCCAGAAAACAGTTAAACTCTAGGTAGTAATATCAATCTATGAAAAAAAGTATATCATACTAACACTAATGCTAGCGAACTAAGTAAATAATAATTATAATAATAAAAATAATAATAATAATAATAATAATATATTATTATTATTATTATTATTATTATTATAATAACATTAGTCCAGCAACCTGTCCACTACTATTTGAAGGTATTGCTGAATTGACTAGAAAATCAAGATATCAGGGAATATTTAGACCTGGATTTGTATCCAATAAATCATGTTCTCTTTTAATTTGAAACATCAGGGTATATACAGGGTAGGAAGCAGCAAAATTACTATTTACCAGAAATGGATGATGGAATGATAGGTAATAACACTTCAGCTAGCCAAATATTAAGTGTTTGACTATCTCTTCAAGTACAATTATATAACGAAAAGACTTCCATTTCTCAATTTTCAGTGCTGTTCATCTTCTCACAAAGATCAAAATCCATGTACTAAAAATTTCGAGTTTTCTGACAAGTTGCCACCAAATACACCAAAAAAGCAACATTTCAAACAGTAGAGCAAAGGTGAAGTGCAATAGATAAATGAAAATGAGTTTCTAACAGTTATTAGCATATTCCAAAATTTCTTCCTTCTTTATCTCTAAAACATATTGCTTTCCTTCTTCAAACCATACAACGCATCGTAACTACCATGGGTAAGCAAAATTTCACAACGTTGAAAACCCTAGCAATTAACCGTTAGATGGGCATATTTCACAACGTTGGAAACCCTTGCAATTATCCGTTAGATGGGCATATTTCACAACGTTGGAAACCCTTGCAATTATCCGTTAGATGGGCAAATTTCACAACGTTGGAAACCCTTGCAATTATCCATGGTAGTTACACTCTCTGCTTACTACATACCACTCTTCCTAGATGAGTGAATGTTCACATCTCCCATAGCTATAAACTTCCCATTCAAAATCCTTATCCAAATGTATGAAGTGGCATGACAACGCTTGTGTTAAAAATATAACCTCCTTCGGAATTAACTCTTCTGTATCCCATAAAATCTAGTATTCTCATGTTGATCATCTTGAATCCACTGATAACCTAGTGTTTTTATAATTTAAAATTGCAGAAAAGCCACAAGGTCTCTGGGGTTTGAAGAGAATAAACGAGAAATTAAAAGCACGCTTCTTTAAAGTGAAGCGCACAATTAATGAAAAAGCTAAAAGTATCAAACATATATGGATTTAGTACTATAATAATCAAGTTGTAATTAAATAATTAAATTCAGCATCTATAGCGCAGATATAATCCAACTTCTCAAATTTGAGATTCGAAAAACCGACCGCTTCTTGTTATAATCGTACGTCATAGTTTGAAGTGTACTCTTCTTTGAAGCTCATGACTTCACTCATGAAGTAATAAATACTCATTTCGAACTAATTTCAATGACATTTAATAACACTGAGGTAACCGACCAACCCATCTATTCCTCCATAAATTACACGCCACTTGCTTTGTCACCCCTATCGGCTTAAGTCCTACTCATTTTTCTATCAAATCAGTTTTTTGTCCTTCATCTTTGACCTTCTTGTTCGTTGTCACCTTCCTCATTCATCATCTGCTTTTTAGTTTACGGGAGTAAGTTTTCTGCCCCAGCCCCCAAAATACCAATTCCATCTATAGGGTATCACCCGACCTATCAACGCATTATGACACTTATGATAATTCAGAAATGGTAGTTACTAATTTGGGACCAAACTGACAAAATTTCATTAAATAAACTAGCTTTAGGATGGAGTTACCCTAAAAAGAGAGGCTTGAAATCGATGAAAAAAAAGGGTTATTTCAAATGCTTGAAGCTGACCATACTATATTAGTCGCTAGTGGTTTTCTAAAGACAATCTAAGGATACCATTTTACCTTAAAAGAGACTTGAAATAAATGAATAACAAATCTGCTAAGTAAATATAACCAGAAGCTGAAGTGAGACAAAGAAAAAAGAACCAAAATTATAGCTTTCACTTATCACTCCTAGATAGGGGATACCTTCTTGCATCACATCACAATGATTCATTTGTTTCTATGTTGCTCGAACTCTCTGAAAATGTCACAGGGTGCCTATCGGATCCTTCAAATATAGTGTATATTTGGAGGATCCGACACGAGAGCGGCATCATTTTGGAGAGTCCGTGCAACATAGATTTGTTTCACTCAATTCAATAAAATAATATTTACTCAGCTATATGAATCCTTACCTGACCCATTTCACAGATGATACCTTACTTTTCTATATCCAGAATGAAACTAAAATAACTAACAATGGAACCAACTATACAACTAAAAGATTTAAAGGAAAAAAATCAGAACTTTAGGCTCAATTATTCACAATAAGCAGACCCCAAGTTTTAAAAAAAAAAAAATCTTGAGCGTGGAAAACCAAAGAAATAGCAAAAGTGCATATATCCATAGAGGTTTACAGAAAATACAGCAGACCCAATTGCCAAAAAGTATCAAAAATTAACTAGACAACAGTACAAGATGAAGAAGCAAACATGTATATACCAAAGTTATGCTATGAGAAAATCGCCTATAGTTTTTTCTGAAAGTGAAAGAAAGAAAAACACTCACCAAAATTTTGCAGCAAATACTTCTTTGGTTTGAACGATGAGAAAGACGCTGAAAACAGTGGGTTTTGTGAATGTTAATACACTATTTTGTTTGAGAGCGGCGAGGCAATACCCGCTTTCATGAGGGATAATAGGTCTTCTGAAGTTACTTTCTTCCCCAAAATAATACTTTAGGGCTTAGATTTGAAGAAATATCTATCCTTCCAAAATGTTTGCCTTCTTTATGGTTGCATTTGGTAGGAAAAAAATTTCTTTTACCGGAAAATAAATGATTCTTTTACTTAATTTTATTTGATAATTAAGTAGAAAAAATATTATTTCAACAACTTAATAATATAGACAAATATAACCCATGGTAAGATGGTACTAGAGGCCGATTTAGTTGTCACGATCCGAATTTCCCACCTTCGTGGGTCGTGATGGCGCCTACTAATAGGAGCTAGGCAAGCCAAACTTAATTACTTTTCATTAAGCACATATTCCATTTTAATAATTAACAGCATTAGAATATAGGCAACGGAATTAAATTCATAAGCGGAAGTCTTAAATTTCAAATAGCTGAATAAAATACGGAACTCCCAACATGAATCTCTACTCAAGAACTGGAGTCACATACTCACGAACTTCTAAGAATACTAAATACAAGGTCTGAAAGAAACATCTCTGTTTTGTCTCGGATACAATGAGATAACAGTCAAATATAAAGGATAGGGGAGACGCCGGGCCTGCGGACGCCTGCAAGGCTACCTCGGTATCTCGCTGGACTGGAAACCTGCACCCACGCTACTGGAGCTGCTGACCAAAACCTGGATCTGTGCAAAAGAGCACAGAGTGTAGCATCAGCACAACCGACCCCATGTGCTGGTAAGTGCCTAGCCTAACCTCGGCGAAGTAGTGACGAGGCTAGGACCAGACTACCAGATAAAGCTGTGCAGTTCAAATATATACATACAACGAAAAGAAATACAGGAAGTAAACAGTCAATAACAGAAGGGGGAACATGTTATGGGGAGGCAACAGTTACAATTAGGAAACCACGATATAAAGGTAGAAGCAGCCAAAGAATTTACAGCGAATCAAGAAACGAATATTCCAAATAAACACACTTGAATCAGCAATTGTTGCGGCGTGCAACCCGATCCTCAAATATCATTGTTGCGGCGTGCAACCCGATCCTATAAATATCATTTAGCATTGTTGCGGCGTGCAACCCGACCCTCAAATATCATTGTTGCGGCGTGCAACCCGATCCATAAATATCATTTAGCATTGTTGCGGCGTGCAACCCGACCCTCAAATATCATTGTTGCGGCGCACAACACGACCCATGAATATCATTGTTGCGGCGCGCAATCCGACCCAAAAATATCATTGTTCCGGCGTGCAACCCGATCTATATATATGTTGTTTATCATTGTTGCGGCGTGCAACCCGATCCACAAATATCATTTATCACTGTTGCGGCGTGCAACCCGATCCACCAATATCATTCTTTCTCACCCAAACAACGGTCACAAATACGGGGCAAAGAAGTAAACAAACAATGGAAGAAAATCCCGGCAAGGGAACAATATCAATAAACTCAATATCCCGGCAAGGGAGAAAATCAACAACCAACAAAACGTCCCGGCAAGGGAATAACCAATAAATCATCTCTTTCTTTCGTTTCTTACTTTATAAATTACTTTACCATTCGAGCCATTGTTCTAGAGAATCAAATCATCGTAATGTCTTTCACATGTTCTTTACAATACATAGATATCCTCAATTAAGCACGGAATTTACAACAGAAATCATGATAATCGCATTTTAAGGACTCACGGTCATGCTAGACACCAATGTATAGATACTCGTCACCATGCCTATACACCATACTCGATCACTTAGCAAGTAGCAAACAAGACTCAACTCCTATTTCCTCAAGCTAGAGTTAAACCAAACACTTACCTCAAAGCCTTGAACTCGACTCAAGCCTCAACTATGGCTTTACCCCGTGATTCCACCTCCAATCCGCTCGAATCTTGTCACAAATTGCTCAATTACTTTAATAAACACTAAATGAATCAATTTGAATGCATAAAAATGAAATTCCCAAGTTTTTCCCAAAAATTTCAAAATTGCCCCCCGGGCCCACGTGGTCAAAACCCGAGGTTCGAACCAAAACCCGGTTACCCATTCCCCCACGAACTCAAATATGTAATTTATTTTGAAATCGGACCTCAAATTGAGGTCCAAATCCCCAAATTTTTAGAAAACCTAGGTTCTACCCAAAACCCCCAATTTCACCCATGAAAACCATTGATTTTAAGTGGAAAACATGTTAAATGATGTTAATGATTGAAAGAATTGAGTAAAAATCGACTTACAAATAATTTGGGATGAAGCTTGTTCTTGAAAAATCGCCCAAGGAGTTGTATTTTGAAAGTGGGTGAAAAATGGTCTAAAATTCGACTAAGTATAAAATTTGCTGGGCTGCGGATATGGGAAATGCAAAGTTGGGTTCGCAATTGCGAACCCTGCAGGCTTGGGAAATGCGACATTACTGTTCGCATTTGCCAACTCAGGCCAACCAGGGGACCTTCGCATTTGCGAATTGGGTCTCGCATTTGCGAACCAGTGACCATCGCATTTGCGATATTTGGCTTCGCATTTGCGAACCTTGGCCGGCCTAGGCTGGTTTCGCATTTGCGAACCAACCTTCGCATTTGCGATAGCTGGACCTTCGCATTTGCGAACTCTGGCTTCGCAAATGCGAATCCTGCAGATCAGCTGATATTAGATTTTTCCAAAAATGAGAAATGCAATCCGACACCTATCCAAAACTCACCCGAGCCCTCGGGGCTCCAAACCAAATATGCACACAACCTCAATAACATCCTACAGACTCACTCGCGTGATCAAATCGCCAAAATAACATCAAAAACAACGAATCATACCTCAAAATCCCTAGTTTTTCTTCAAACTTCATAAACTTTCAAATTTAGAGTTTTAAGTTCGAAACACGTCAAACGACGTCCAATTTCAACCAAACTTCACAAAAAGCGCTTAAACCATATATAAGACTTGTACCGGGCGCCAGAACCAAAATACGGGCCCGATACCACAGTCTTTTAATCAAATTTCATTTCCAATTTCCCTAATAATTTCAGAAAAACAATTTTACTCAAAAATTCATTTCTCGCGATTGGAACCTCGGAATTCAATTCCGGGAGCCCGAGTCCCATATTTTTCTACGGACCCTCCGGGACCGTCAAATCACGGGTCCGTTTACCCAAAATATTGACCGAAGTCAAATATATTCATATTAATATCAAAATTTAGCATTTTTCACACAGAATTCATATTTAAGCTTTCCGGCTACGCGCCCGGACTGCGCACATAAATTGAGGCAACCCTAAATGAGGTTTTCGAGGCCTCGGAAGCACAGAAAGAGTAAGGAACAAGTGATGACCCCTTTGGGTCGTCACATTCTCCACCTCTAAAACAATCGTTCGTCCTCGAACGGACAAAAGAAAGACGTACCTGAGTCGGGGAAAAGAAGGGGATAACGGCTCCGCATATCAGACTCGGACTCCCAGGTCGATGCCTCAGGAGGCTGACCTCTCCACTGAACACGAACAGAAGGAAAACTCTTGGATCTCAACTGACGAACCTGCCGGTCTAGAATAGCTACCGGCTCCTCCTCATAGGATAAATCCTTGTCCAACTGGACAGTACTGAAGTCTAACACGTGGGCTGGATCGTCGTGATACCTCCGAAGCATGGATACATGAAAAACTGGATGCACGGCTATAGGCGGCAATGCGAGTCTATAAGCCACCTCTCCCACTCGATCAAGAATCTCAAACGGACCAATGTACCTAGGGCTAAGCTTGTCCTTCTTCCCAAATCTCATCACGCCCTTCATAGGCGACACTCGGAGCAATACCCGCTCATCAACCATGAAAGCTACATCTCGAACCTTACAATCTGCATAGCTCTTTTGCCTAGACTGAGCTGAACGAAGCCTATCCTGAATGATCTTGACCTTGTCCAAGGCCTCCTGAACCAAATCCGTACCTATCAACCGAGCCTCTCCCGGCTCAAACCATCCAATCGGAGACCGGCACCGCCTACCATACAAAGCCTCATAAGGAGCCATCTGGATGCTCGACTGGTAGCTGTTGTTGTAGGCAAACTCTGCTAAAGGCAAGAACTGATCCCACGAACCTCCAAAGTCAATAACACAAGCTCGAAGCATATCCTCCAAAATCTGAATAGTCCGCTCGGACTGACCGTCCGTCTAGGGATGAAATGCTGTGCTCAACTCAACCCGTGTGACCAACTCTCGCTGAAGTGCTCTCCAGAAGCGCGAGGTAAACTGCGTACCCCGGTCCGAAATGATAGATGCCGGCACACCATGAAGGCGAACAATCTCCCGGATATAAATCTCAGCTAATCTCTCGGATGAATAAGAGACTGCTACAGGAATGAAATGCGCTGACTTGGTCAGCCTATCAACAATAACCCATATCGCATCGAACTTCTTCCGAGTCAACGGAAGTCCGGTAACGAAGTCCATAGTGATCCTCTCCCTCTTCCACTCGGGAAGCTCAATCCTCTGAAATAAACCACCAGGCCTCTACTGCTCATACTTAACCTGCTGACAATTCAAACACCGAGCCACATATGCAACAATATCCTTCTTCATTCTACACCACCAATAATGCTGCCGCAAATCCTGGTACATCTTCGCGGCGCCCGGATGAATAGAGTACCGGGAACTATGGGCCTCCTCTAAGATCAACTCTCGAAGTCCATCCACATTGGGCACACAAACTCTCCCCTGCAATCTCAAAACTCCATCCGCATCTAAGGTAACATGCCTGGCGCCTCCGCGCTGCACCGTGTCTCTAAGGACACACAAATGGGGATCATCAAACTGCCAATCACGGATACGCTCCAATAATGAAGAGCGAGCGACCGTGCAAGCTAATACTCGGCTAGGCTCAGAAATATCCAGCCTCACAAATCGATTGGCCAAAGCCTGAACATCCAGAGCAAGCGGCCTCTAACTGACCGGAATATAAGCAAGACTGCCCATACTGGCTGACTTCCTACTCAAAGCATCGGCCACCACATTGGCCTTCCCCAGATGATATAAAATGGTGACATCATAGTCTTTCAATAACTCCAAGCACCTCCTCTGCCTCAAATTCAA